GCCACCATGTGGTTGCTGGGAATTGAACTCAGGACCTTTGGAAGAGCAGGCAATGCTCTTAACCTCTGAGCCATCTCTCCAGCCCCCCATATCACCTCTTGATAGACTGATAAAGTTTGATTTTATATCTACTTACACATGTGTAAAAGTACTAAAATATAAAGAGTGAACTTGCAGGAAGTAAAACCAAGACACATGTTAATATTGAGTGATTTATTGTAAAATCCAAAATACAATATCCATTTAAACCCTCCTGAGAAATCTTATTCCCTTCATTTACACATAGGCTTTACTGTTGTTAGCTCTTCTGTTGTACTTTTCTTCTGAAGCAAAGCTTTTGTGCTGCTATGTTTATTTATTTTTCACAAACACACATATGTATGTGTAATACATGAATACACACACACGCACACACACATATATACATATATATGTATATATATATATATAGAGAGAGAGAGAGAGAGAGAGAGAGAGAGAGAATATCTTCTATCTTCTTTCCCATTGTTGATGTTTACTTCACTATTGTGAATTATTTGGATTACTTTTAACAATATAGAAAATCTACCAGACAATATTGCAGAGTTTTTCCACTGTTTTTTTAAGAGAATCTTTTACATCTTTGTTCCTCAAGCTATAGATTAAGGGATTCAGCATAGGTATAATCTGACTGTAAAATATGGAAGTCACTTTGTCAGTGTCAAAGGCATGAATGGACATAGGCTGCAAATACATGAATATCAAAGTCCCATAGAAGATAGCGACTACTGTCAGGTGGGACCCGCAGGTAGAGAAAGCCTTTCTTTTGCCCTCAGCTGAGTTCATCCTGAGAATAGCTGCAAGGATGAATACATAGGACACAATGACCACCAGAACAGAAGAAAGCAAATTAAAAGCTGATAATATTAAAATTATCACCTCAATTTCATGAGTATTTGAGCAGGCCAAAGACAACAAGGGGAGACCATCACAGTAGAAATGTCTGATAACATTGGGGCCGCAGAAGGACATAGTGAAAATCTTTATGGTAAGCAGAAGTGAGACAAATATACCATAGAGGTAGGGAATGGTGACCAGTATCCAGCATACTCTTTGTGACATAATGACAGTGTAGAGGAGTGGTTTGCAGATGGCCACATAACGGTCATAAGACATTGCAGAGAGAATAAAAAATTCA